CCAACAACCAGCCTCTCAGCTTTATTCTGCTCATCTCCCTCCTGCTATGCTTCCTCTGCTCCTTGCTCTTCATTGGCCATCCTAATGCAGCCACCTGTGTCCTCCAACAAGTCACATTTGGCCTTGTGTTCACTGTGGTTGTTTCCACTGTTTTGGCCAAAACCATTACTGTGATTTTGTCATTCAAAGCCATGAAGCCTGGAAGAACAATGAGGTGCTTGCTGCTCTCAGGAGCTTTTAACTCAATCATTCCCATTTGTTCCCTGATCCAAATGATTATCTGTGGAATCTGGTTGGGAACCTCTCCTCCTTTCATTGACATAGACTCACACTCTGAGTCCAGAAATCTCATCATCGTATGCAACAAGGGCTCAGTCACTGCCTTCTACTGTGTCCTGGGCTACCTGGGCTTCTTGGCTCTGGGGAGCTTCACTGTGGCTTTCCTGGCCAGGAACCTGCCTGACACATTCAATGAAGCCAAGTTCCTCACGTTCAGCATGCTGGTGTTCTGCAGTGTCTGGGTTACATTTGTCCCTGTCTATCACAGCACCAAGGAGAAGTCCATGGTGGCCGTCCTCCAGTGCAGGGGTCCTAGTCTGCATCTTTTTGCCCAAGTGCTACATTATTCTGATAAGGCCTGATGAGAACTCCTGGAAAGCTTTAAAAAATAGAAGGGGTTCCAAATAAAACAGACATTCTAAGGTTTGATCTCATAAGCCTGTATTGCAATTTTAGGATTTGAACCAAAAATGCACTCTGATTTTATATCCTTGTATGATGAAAAAGCTAAAAATGACTTAAATTCATTTTTTAAAACAGTCATTGTGTATACCAATCTTTAACAGTTATTAAGCCTGCAATTATGGGGCCTGCAGGTGTCGTGGTGGTTAAGAGTGCTGCACTCACACATGGCTGACTATAGTTCGAGTCCCAGACCTGTTATCCTCTTTCTCACTTTCCTTATCTCACTCTGTCCCTATGTAGTCAAATTTCAATAAATAAATAAAGTTAAATAAAATAATTATTAAAAAATATTGCAATTAGTAATGGCATCTGAACTTAATGATCATTTTTACATTATAGGTATTGATTAATTACTAAATTTTATTAACTATTATTTGTTGTGGTCTCCTAGAAAGCTTTTTACTTTTGTGTAGTTCAGAAATAATGTGTTTATTTCAGGGGAGGAATGGGGGGTTAGGGGGCGAGTGCCTCTCTGGTGGGTGGCAGAGTTCAGCTCCCTGGAGGGGAAGGAGGGACATCCCAAGGAAGGGTCTTTGAAGAAGGGGGGGGGGCCGACATCCAGAAAAGGCTTCTAGCTACTGTCTCAGGAGAGGGAAGGTTTTGGGGGACCAGCTGGGGTCTCCAGTAGATAGACCACAGTGCAGGCTGAGGGAGGTACTTCTTAGCACAAGGGTACTTCTTGGGTAGGCAGGGGGCGAAGTCCTCGCAGAAGTGGGGGAAGGCTAGAGGAAGTGGCTGGGCCTGAACTGGCACTGTGCCCAACCCGAGGTCTTCTGCATCCCCCCAGCACTCAGCTTTGCCTTCGGAAGCCGCTCCTCACGGGCAGGGACCCTCCACCTTGTCCAGCTCTTCTGTTCCCAGAGCCCTGATTACCTGTGGCCTGGGAGCCAGAGCCAGTGTTCTCAGGACAGATCAAGAACACAATGTTCATCAACAAGATGAAGGATCAGCTGCTGCCTAAGAAGGGCTGTGGGTTGGCCCCACCGCACTACCCCACCTTGCTGATGGTGCCTGCCTCAGTGTCCCTGCCCTCGGGCATCAGTATGGACATGGAGTCCAAGCCGGACCAGCTCACCCCTCACAGCCAGGCATCTGTCACCCAGAACATCACTGTGGTCCCCATGCCATCGACAGGACTGATGACTGCTGGTCCGGGTTTGGTCATCACGTCCCCCTCAGGCTCTCTGGTGACCCCAGCCTCCTCAGCTCAGATCTTTCCCCATTTCTGCTCCCATGGTTGTCTCCACTCTCCCCCAGGCTTACAAGCCCTGCAGGTGGTCCCTGACCTCTCCAAGAAGGTCGCATCCACCCTGACAGAGGAGGTGGTGGAGGTGGCAGTGTGGCCCCTAAGCCCCCCGGGGCAGGAAGAAGAAGCGGATACTGGAATCGGGGCTGCCTGAAATGAATGACCCCTATGTCCTCTCCCCTGAGGATGACGAGGACCATCAGAAAGATGGCAAGACCTACAGGTGCCGGATGTGCTCCCTGACATTCTACTCAAAGTCGGAGATGCAGATCCACTCCAAGTCGCACACCGAGACCAAGACCCACAAGTGCCTGCACTGCTCCAAGACCTTCACCAACAGCTCCTACCTGGCCCAGCACATCTGTATCCACTCGGGGACCAAGCCCTACAGTTGTAACTTCTGTAAGAAGGCCTTCCGCCAGCTCTCCCACCTCCATCAGCACACCCGAATCCACACTGGTGACAGGCTGTACAAATGTGCACACCCCAGCTTTGAGAAGGCCTTCACACAACTCTCTAACCTGCAGTCCCACAGAAGGCAGCATAACAAAGATAAACCCTTTAAGTTCCACAATTGTCATTGGGCATACACAGACACAGCTCGCTAGAGTTGCACCTGTCCACACACACGGTGAAGCATGCCAAGGTGTACACCTGCACCATCTGCAGTCGGGTGTACACGTCGGAAACATACCTTATGAAACACATGCGCAAACACAACCCTCCTGATCTCCAGCAGCAAGTGCAAGCGGCAGCAGCAGCAGTGACCCAGGCCCTGGGCCCAGGCCCAAGCCCAAGCCCAGGCCCAGGCCTCCCAGGCATCGCAGCAGCAGCAGCAGCCGCAGCCGTGCCACCGCCGCCACAACCACCACACTTCCAATCCCCTGGCTCAGCCCCCCCGGGGTGGGGGTGGTGGGGACAGCAACTCCAATCCTCTACCTCAATGTTCCTTTGACCTGACCTCCTATAAGACAGCAGAGCATCATAAGGACATCTGCCTCACTGTCACCACCAGCACTATCCAGGTGGAGCACCTGGCCAGCTCTTAAGAGATCCGGGCTGCTGCCTAGAGGAAGAGGAGAGAGAAGCTCTGATCCCGTCTTTCTCTCAACTCCTCTTGGCGGGAAAAGTCCTTGACAAGTCTTGGCTCTATCTCCTCAGGCCTCAGGCATGGCTTTCCTTCACAAGATACCATCCTTATTTTCAACTCCTCTTCAAAAGGAACATCAGCCCTCTTGATTGGCAAAGGAATACCAAGCTGATGGTGTTATCCAGCAGTCTCCCCTCCCAAGCAAAGCGTTTGTAATTAGGGATTGGTGCTCAAGAGGATTTGCTACAACCTCATAGAAACTTATCCAGTGTGAGCACTTACCCCTTCTTTACTCTTCTCATCTTCAAAAGTTTGGGCTGATCAAAGACGACAGGCTGGCCCTCCCAGATAACAGGGAAGGAAGCCCTGTCCTATTGCCTGCAAAAGAACAGAAGTTTCTCATGTGCTGCAGTCATGAGAGCCATTTTCTTCCCCTATGTGATTTCACTTCACTTCCTAACTGCTGCTGGTGAAAGGAGATGGGGGTGGGGATTAGACCTCCTTTTATTTGTAGGGGCCAAGGGCTGAGATGTGGTCCCTAAGGGGCCAGAGATTCCCAAGGTGGTCAAGAGTGGCTTAGAAGTGTGGGTTGTGGTTTTCCCTTGGAGCCCCTTCCCCCTCTGCCAGCCAATGCTCTGTGCTGTCCCTCCTCCCAGCTCCCAGGAAGCTGTGGGAGCTTTGCATCCTCTATGGAACCGGACACTGGGTCAGGTACTCAAATCATGCTTGACTATGTAGGAGTCCAGTAACAAAACCATTACATCATCTGCTGGTCCTCCATTCCAATCTGAATATCTTTGTTTCTGCCAGCTGGAGTTTCTGCTTTTTGGAGTATCTTGATGTATTAAATTGTGT